ACATAATATTTATAAATTTATAAAAAATTTTCCATGTTCGACGATGATTAAGTACTATTTATTTATGCATAATAATAATATTTATAAATTTATTATTCGTTTTCCAAAGAGTACTTTATTATAATTACATTTTGTTATTCGAAATGAGAAAATAAATAATGTGCCGTCAAAAACTATACGATTATTTGTTCTAGTTTTATATAAATTAGATCGGCTAGTAGATTTTTTTAGTACTTAATAAGTACTTTTGTTATTCAATATAAGTGTACATAAGTGTTCAACTTAAAAAAAAAAAACAAAATCTGTATAAACACATGTAATAAAATAATGGGAAAATCAACTTTATTATTAAGGATTGAAATCTCGGAAACTATATGATTCCTAGAGATATCAACCAATAGGCAACATAAAGTTGCAATTATTCGATCCAAAACATCAAAAACATTATTATTCTAACCAAACAATTGAAAAAAAACATCCCAGCAAATAAAACATAAAAAAATCGTCTTCTAATTCAAAACCAAACATCTAATTATTATTTCCTTCATCAGTTGGGAGTAAGTTCCCATAGTCATCAACTTTCGCCTTGCCCTTCTTGCTCGTCACGGATTCCGCTTGTCCACAATCGGGGTCAATAACAAACTCATCCATCAAATTACGTTTTGCATTGGATGTATCACTAACTTGCTCAACAGCACGAACAGTCTTAAGCGGAGAAATAACTTCATCTTCATCATCGTCCTATTTAAAATAAAGTCAAGTATAAACGTCAAAGAAAATAAACTTCACTTATAAGTAAATATAAGTAATATTCAAATATAAATATTTATACTAACCTTAGTAGCTTCCTCCCTTAGTAAAAGGGTCATAAAATCGGAATTCTATAATGAAGAAACATCATAATTAATTTTCAAATCATGTATTGTATAACAAAGGAATATGATTAATTTGTTAAATCTAATTATAAAAACTTACATCATACTCAACAACCCAATGGTTGTACTTGGAAACCAAATTTGGATCAAGAATGACCCTTAGCACGGAAAAAGTAGATGAATATCCCTTTTTTTCATTATTATTTGCTTTGATTCGAACCTTGAAAAGAAAGGTTCTCCCAACCAAGTCCTCTAAATCATCGGGCAGCTCAAAGACAGCTTTATTCTACCAAAAAAATAATAATAATATAATATTTATAAGAATTATAAATAAGCATTAATCTCGAATTAACACATATTTCTATATATATATATATTTTTTTTATTGTAATAATAGTTACCTTTAACACAGAAATTTCACGTTTTAGAAGCTCACAAGACTTTCCAATCATCCGTTCACACTCTCTATCCCAACATATGAAAACAGCACTTGCAGTAGAATCAGCAACACTAAATTGAATCTTGTACCTTTAAAAAAAATCAAACTGTAAATTATTAATAATTAATAATAATATGCGAAAAGAAAAACCAAACAATATTCCAACCGTGCAATGCCACGTGTATTAGTGCACTTGGTGCAATGCATATCACCATCTTCAATTTCCATCTTGCTATTGCATCTTTTGCAAGCAAGGTACCACCAATTATCAATTATTTGTAGTTTCATAATCTACTACAACAACAACAACAACAACAACATACCCAATATATTCCCAACAGGTTGGGGTCTGGGGGGTCCAGTTGTACGCAGACCTTACCCTTGTAATTATACAATGAGGCTGTTTCCGTAGCGACCCAAGGTGCATTGCGCCGTTTGATATATTTTTTTTTTTTTCTATAAACTTCACTAATAGAAGAAGCACTAGAATTTAATTGAGCCATTTTGATCTAGTCCATTATTAGCACTATGTCAGGAGAATTGTCAACAATGACTCTTCCAGCTCCATTAGCACTATTAGCCATTTTCATAACCTACTAAACTACTTAAATTTTTTGATTTGGATAGTTTATACAAACTCATTATAGTTGATGGAACAATATAAGTTTTATACTTATACTTATTATTCAAATAAACTTTTAAATATATGATAGCATTTTATCAAAATAATTTTATATAGAATCACATTGTAATTTATGAACAAAAATTTTAAAATAAAATTTATTAAACCGGTTGTCCGGTTTAGTTTGTGATTAATAACGTGTGAAATAAACCGGTTGTCCGGTTATAAATACATCTAGAGGCAACAACCCAGGTTTATCATACTTGCGAAAATTGAAAAGTAAAGTTAAGGATAGAATATGTGGAATATCTGGCACACAAAGTGATGCAAAAATGGCAGTGAAGAAATTAAAACCCGGACCACGATGAGGCAAACACGTGAATTCGGACCTTCTCTTATCACTTCTTTCCCTTTCGTCCCCTTATATCTACCATTTCTACATCTTCCATTTTCACTCTGATAATGGACCCTCTTCCTTCCCCAAAGCTACTACTACCCACTATTCTGCTATCACTAATTTCATTCAGCTCATTAGCACAATATGCTAATAATAATAAGGCCCCTTGTGATTTCCCGGCTATATTCAACTTTGGGGATTCGAATTCCGACACAGGCGGCCTCTCAGCGGCTTTCGGCCAGGCCCCGCCACCCAATGGGGAGTCCTTTTTCCGTGGCCCGGCTGGCCGCTATTCTGATGGCCGACTAATCATAGATTTTATGGGTAAGG